AACAAAAATCCTTCAATTAATGAGATTTGGAGTTTTTTTTCCTCTGTAGCTCATTGATCACATTAGTAAAGCGAAAGGAGTAGAAACTGCTTGTCTTTGCATACGGATTTTGTGGTCAGCAGATAATGTAAAACCCTGATACCCAACAGGGCTTTTTTAATTTCTGTTGAAGAACTCAAGGTACTGTAAGTGCAATATGACTAAATAGGACTGCCTGTGATGGACAGCAGAGGAAAGCTACAGCTAACTTTATACCCTAGGCCGTGTTGCATTCCCACTAATGTCTCACTAGGATGCACTGGCATTTCCTTGGTAAAGCACTGCTTTTCTTTTTCCCTAGGTACTCTTGCTGGATCCAAATCCCAGGAGGATTGAGGCTTTCAACTTTTTGCTGTTTGCATGATTCTTTAAAAGGTTTTGCTTTAAAGCTCTGTACAACTGTGGTGACTCGAATCCCAGTATTCAGCAATATCTCCAAATGAAGATCTTTATCGTAATGTATCTTTGTAGACTCATGCCTTTGGGTACATTAAAACCATGTGCAATAGTATTTCTTTGACAAAAAGAATCATATTTTACTACACAGTTACTGCACATGCATGCTGTCATACACCTGATGCATTTGCCTCTCAATACACACATTTCTGAAGTGCACTTACAGTCTATAGGGCTAAGCATCTTTCTTATAAATATAGACATATATGATAAACTATAGCAACATTTCTATTTCATTAGATCAGCATTATTTGCTTAAAAAACAACAATCTTAAATACATATTTACATGATACACACCAGGACTACAGGTAAGTAGACAATTTACAAAGACTGCAGCAGCTCTTTTCTCCATGTAAACTTTTATATCCCCTCCTCAACAGGAACAGCTGCCTTTTGAGCAGGATGGTTTTCATAAAGAAACTTCACCCATCAAAGATTTTTCATATACTGAATGCTGAAAGCATAAAAAGCAAATTAAAAACAAAATTAGACTTAAGGCTAAAATGTTATTGTTCTCATTTATTTGGGCTTGGGTAGGTTACAAAGATTTAATCCCTGATTCTGCAAATGTATAAATCTATGCTTAACCCTAACTATCCAGGGCTACCAGCTGGAACAGACACGTAATGACTATAGGATCAAACTCTAACTGAGCTTTCTGTGCTGAATGTGATGTGCTGAAGCATTTTGTGATTTTTAGGGTCAAGTAACAATGAGTTGACATAGGTGTGAAGCCTCTGGATTTGCTTTTAAGCTTCATTTATTCACAAGAATGTTTAACGTGGGGAGAAAACATCTCCAACTGTAGTGAAAAACAATCAGTTTCCCAAAGGACATTTCAAAGGTATTCACTGCGTGTGTAAAAATGTATAGGACAAGATATTCAGATCCCTTAGTGCCTTCTTCATTTAGGATTAAGAGGGGTGAGGGAACTATAAAACCTTAGGCATGCAGGTACAAAAAAGCATTATTTTCTCCAAGCTACTTAAACCTCTTGGGCTTTAAGACTTATACTGTTTCCTAAGGTAAGGCTCATCCAGATGTAGGTGATTTCTGGTCATTCAAGTAGCGTGAGTAATTTCCAAACAGCCCACCTGAAAAGCATTAGAGTTTTCCTAACACATGGAGGCTAAGCCTTAGCTCGTTCTATGGCAGCTGCTGAGCTTTGATGGAAATTTTACTTTTCTCTTTGGGGTAAGTGGGTATCTGAGAGATCTGGAGAGCTCTCCGTGTGGAAACAGGTCACTAGGAAAAGCCTACTGCAGCCAGGGTAACGCATGCTGCAGCAGCAAAACCAGTTGATAGCTTCTCAGCCTCCCATTCAGACCCATTTCTGCCTCAGTTTTGTAACCTCTGAAGTTGTTATTTTGCAGCTGTTTCTTGGAGTTAAATTTGTCTCCCAAAGTTATTTTTTTTTTTTTTTTTAATCAATTCTGTCAAGGGTGATTTCATTGTTGACCAGAAGCAAACTAAGACCAATTCCCAGCATTACTGCAGAATGAACAGATGCGTTGGTGGAATTTAGAAGGTAAAGTACAGCAAGAGACAGGGACATGTGTTTTGGAGGCTGAACAAGATGACCTCTGGAGGTCCATGGTGCTGTGATACACGTGGCTACTGCTGCAGGCTTAATAAGGGTTTGCCTGGAACTTTTTTAATGTCTAGATTTGATCTTTTTCACACATAAGGGATGTTAGAAAGTAGTCTGATTATGGGTCACTGAAAAGAGGTTGTTGAAGTCTTTCACTCAGAGTAAGAACAGGAACAGAACTTGTTTAGAGAACAGTCATGCAGTCGCCTGACATTACAAGTGGGCACAAACGCACATGAGGAACTCACTAAATCCTGCTGACATCTTTCCATTTGCAAAACCACGAAAACAGGGCTCTACACATTTAGAAGACGGATCTATAAAACACGGAAATAGTTATCTAATGGGACCTGATCCTCAGGTGAAACAAGCAGCTATGATGTCGATTTATGTTAGGAGAGAACCTGGCGCGTGGTATTTTATTCAGTAAAGTCTTATCAGTCTCTCATAGTTTTTGGTAAATGCAATTACCCAGATCTTCACATTTAAACTGCTTTAAAAAGAATGACATAAAACTGGATATTAGTTCACAGTTAGGGCTTTGAAATGATATAAATAACTGTAAAATGAATGGAGGAAAAAGCTCAGAATTTGCAAAATGACACAGTGGACTGAAATGTCTTCTTCATCTGCCAATGTTCCGCCTGCCAAATTTACAAGGTATGAAGAAAATGTTAGTTGGACATGCATGTGAGGAATAGCTATTGCATATGGATCGCAGCTACCAACAAACAGAACACTGCATATTGCTGAAGCAGCTGCGCAGGTTTTGCACATGCAGTTCCATATTTTGGGCACACATTGCAGCCATACTTCACAAACGTCTTCAGAAATATTTAAATAACAAATGGAAAATCCAATCCCCCCCCCCCCGCACGCACACATGTTTTTGTTAGATGAGAGAACAATTCTGCTTCATGATCGGAGATAATAAAGTACTGTGCATTACATTTATCATTATTCTAACTCACTTGAGTCAGTGTTGTATAGTACATATATACTCAGCAGACAGATAGTTATATCTACATTCATCACTTAGACATACATTTTAGATTTGTGCCAGTTGCCTATAAGAATTCAGCTGACTGGCACCAAACGAGCCACAGAATCATATTTCTAGTATCTTACAAAACGTCATGAGGAAATGTTAGGTATTACTTTTATTTTGTATACTGAGTCAGTTTGTCAAGCCACCAGCCTTTACAACTCCTGCCTGCTTCAGATGGTAGAAATATGACAATGTGTCAAAGAGCTGATGAAAGTAAGGGGAAATTATATTTATTCTCTAAGATTAAGTCTACAAGAAAGGCACCATGAAAGAAAGATGAATTTTTAAATGCATACAAAGGGAGAGATTTATTGCTCGTGGTGACACGTAAATCGACCAGTGACTGACTGTGATATACAAGGATAATGAGACAAGTCCAATGTTGTATTCTTCTCCATGTTTAACTAGCCATCCTAAATGTACAGTGGGTTTTATTTTGTTTCCGGGGAATTTAGCTTACTCTGTGTGAATAATTGATCTGAAATTCAAAATCCTTCTGGGACTATCTTCATTGACATACAAAAGACCCATTGACTTTGGCAGCAGCCCTATGTATAAGTTGACAACAGCTGTGGACTTTAAAAATCATCCTGTTGTAGTTTACTCAGGTAAAAGTGGTCTTAGTAAAACATATAACAATCCTATATAGAGTTTTTATCTTTCTAAACTCACTAATAATTTTCTAATATCCGGCATTCTGATACAAATGAATTTCTTAAGAAACAAGTATTGAACTGGGTGTTGTTACCTATTGCACCTGAGAAAATTAGGTTATGCCTAAGAAGTAAAATGATTAAGATGAGGTAGACCATTTAATCTGGAGAAAGGCTAATTTTGAAGAAAGTGTTGTGAAAACTTACTCTAAAGTATGTCTCTATATTTGTGGGTATATGTTATTGTAATTATGTTATATTTTTATAACTAAAAGTAATAGTGAAGCTCCTTTTTTTATTTACATTGTAGTTGATGATCTTCATTATATTAATTCTTCCATTTATAAATCGTGACAATTTATATATTATTATGGTTCCTTGTAGCTGTAGGACTATGCTAAGGGCTAAAGAAAGGCTCTCCAGACTAACAGCTGAGGTATGACGCCACGTACGCTGATGGTGGGGTGAAGCCTCTCACTGAGTTACTTGTCTGGGCTTTGAATCACAAGACAGAAACCTCAGCAGACAACACTTTTTACAAGGTATGAAAGAATACATAATGTCTGTTCTATCAAAGACTTCTATTCATGGTAGAGTTTGCCAAATGGAGCATGCTAATGTTTGCAAACTGACTGATATTGATAATTTGAAATGAGTGACAGGGAATGTACTATTTTATCTCATTAACCTTTGCTGTCAGGGATTGTGCAGAGCTGTAGGCATCAGTGCCCTTTGCCTGGGGGACACGGGAGGTAATAACTAAAATGTAATCCCGTGTTTTTTAGTACTGAGGTCCTTATTTTCTCAATATGATGCAGATCATCTTTTCTTAACATGAAAAATATAAGCAAGAATATTCAGTTATATCAGCTATTATTTAAGCTGTCATTGCATGCATGATTGACCAAGACTATTCAAAATCTGGGCATGTATTTACCCTCACTGAAGAAACTCTTTTTTTTATGGCCACTGGACAGCAGCTTTCTTGACCTATTCATCAAAAATTCATTTGATTTCTGATGTTAACTTGCTGTTGTCTTTTGGAATTTATGTCACTTTCTGTAGAAAAATGTGCAGAATTAAGGTCAGATTTGGTACTAAGTCTTTTGCTTATCAAGATATAAAGCATTTGAAATGAGTAGTTCTGGATCTGAAAAAAATTTTAAGAGTTTATGAGGAAAAAAACTTTGTTTCCAATTGTTTCAGAAATCAGAACAACAGAAATAAAGCCTGAGTCATTATTGATCTTGATATTTTCCAATTTAATTAATAAAAAAACACTTCAAAAGCTGTCTCATTTCATAGTGTGCTCACTGAATTGAGAGAGAAGTCACTGAAAATTACCCAGGAAAGTAACTCTCTATTAGACACCAAAGGGTGGCTTCAGCATCGCGTCTACATGACAGTTGTGAAGCCATCTACTAGCTGTAGTTGTACTTCCAATGAACTAAATCATGTTTGCAAAAATTAAGATACAGTGGTGGTGTCTGAGGAAGGGTGACATGTAGGATTGGTCTGGTTTTCAAAATTTTACTGGTATTGAAGCCTATATTAGCTGTAGGCTGAACTGGAGGTATAGTAAACGTTAGTAACATTACTGTGCATAGCTGTAGTCTACAGCTATAAAGGTCTATACTGAAAACTTCTGAGATTTGCATGTTGAGATGTAGATTCAGATTGGCTGCACTCATGGGGGGGGGGGGGTCTATTATTTTTACTCTATTTGGTTTAGAAATTATACTTTTAAACTCAGCTTTAGGCTCATCTTTCCTTTAAGTAACATATCTGTAGGTAAAATAACCATGATTAATGATATTAGAAAAAGCAATTTTGGGGGTATTTTGGTAGGTTTGTTGTTTGGTGGGTGGTTCTGAGAGGATTGGTGCTTTGGGGTATTTTTTCCCTTGGGCCCAGGGCCCCATTCTCCAGCATCAAGCAAAATCCATCTCTCTGTAGCTCAGATATACTAGAAGGTATGCAGGAGGCATCGTGACCTTTCCATCCTGTCTACCATTTCTATTTTGCTGTAATTTAATAGGGAGAAAACTAACGGTATTCTGTGGAAATATTACTTGAAAAACTTAGAGAAGACAGGGCTGAATCCAGCCATAGAGTACTTCAAAGTGATTTTTTTCTTCCTTCAATTCTACAGGATTGTTCAAAAACTGTGTATTAGAAGAGTTTGAAAGATGCTTTGGGCACAATGAGTATCTAGGTAAAGGTATTTCTATTAAGCTTTTCCTGTTAAGAGGTTTTCTATACACGACCTACTCAAAGAACCAGGTTGGGGTGGTTTTTGTAAAGGCAGGTTGGCATCCCCATTGGAGGGAGTGTTACCTGCAGCCAGTGAAAAATGCAGCACAAATATCCCTCTGTGGCTTTTTAGAATAAACTTATGATGGCACTAGTTTGCTCCCATTACTGTCATGAGTCCTTCTGTTGAAGACTAGATTTTCCCCTATATGTATGTGTAACTGCTGATGGAGATCAATGGGAGATTTGTATTAGTGAAGCCTGCAGGACCACAGATCAATAACACTCTTTTAGTCGGAGGCAGGAGGTACAAAGCAGCCTGCCTCCCTTAGATGCTACATGGGCTTCTCGACAAACATGGGCTGGGCTTCAACCTGTCCAGGACTGCCTTCCGAAACCTTGACAGCTGAGGATACTAGGGATAGGCCAGTTACTTTTGTTTCCTATATATCATTTTATGTGTCTTGTAGGTCCCATACCAGGCTCCTCATTCGTTCAGCTGCAATATATTCCTATTGTGCGATTCGCTTGTGAGGGCAGAGGAATTGATGGAGCTTCTTTTGAGGATCTTGTTTATGATGTCTTTCCATGTCTTCTTGTACTGATGCCGTAGCAAAGAGTACACAAAAGGGTCTGAAACAGCTTTGCTGTAAGCTAAGCACTTGGAAATGATTCCCCAGTGGGAGTTGATGTGGACCACAGAGGATAATTCAACAAGTCTGTGGAAACAGGAAGGTTAAAAGAGTGAATGTTCACATTAAAAATGTGGAACAACAGCACAACTGTAAGGCAAAGACACCCCCCCCCAAACACCAATTTATTCCTGGAAAGCTGCAAGAAAACAAAAGAATGGCATACTCATGAAAATGAAAATGTAGTCCTTCACTTATACATTTCTAACACTGCAAATGTAAACTTGAAGTCTATTTCCTATGGATGGGACTACACACCTCCTATCAGAGTGTCTTGGCCTCCAAACTTCAAGACATCCTTGGCTGTATGTTTAACTGTACCTTTACTGAGCCTGGAAGCAGACCTTGGATGTGTTACCTCCTACCAGGTTCTCTTACTCATTTTCCTCAATAAATGTTGAATTCTTGAAAGAATTTAGTGCAAAATGGAATAACTCCATCAGGATATGAAACAGTCTTCAAAAGATCCCATTTATTTGCTATTAGAATATGCCTTTTGGAGTCTAAATCTTGAGTACAGATCTCTGATGTAGAGCTGGGTTTTCAACTCGTCTGTCTCACTCCGGCCATCAAGGAATTTGATAAAGGAGCACCCTTCTCTGCAGGCTACTGTACCCTAGCCCTATTTGTACTGCCTGGTGAACACCACTGTGGGGATCATAAATACTCTGAGATAAGCTGGTCAACACTTCACAGAAAGTTTACTGCTGATGAAATAGGTCACACAGCATCTACTCAAAATCATTTCCTCCATAACATATCCTCAACCATTACACTTTTAGGCTCTGTGCCAAATTTATCCATACAGACAATGTGTGTTACTTTCTGTAGTGACTCCATGGTTTTCAGTCCTAAAAAGATTTCTTGTTAGACAGTAACATTTCACTTCATTATATATTTACTTTATTTAATGCTTTTTGTGTATTTTTCTAGTGTGTGCCATAAGATCACATTTCTGGCAGCTGAAGTTCATCACAGACTTAATATAGCTCTAAAGGGAATGACAGGAATATCATCTCCCCAGATATGCTTCCTGATGACTTTCACACTTAGTGTCACCACTGAATCCATCATGCACACCAAATTTAACCACAAGTATTTTATAAAGTTATTTCTGTATAACCTAACATGATTTTTGAAATACTGATGCAAAACCACACTTTGACGGCTAAAGTCTGAGGTCAGGACACCAAGTGCCATTGCTTGGTCTTATGGGAATCATATTCCCCTTCCATTAGCTGTCTAAAAATCAAGTATCTAGTCTGAACTTGTGGTTCTAGGTCCCCACGTCAGCATTCGAGAAACACCATCACCAGTGCTCTCTGGCTTTCTTAGCCAGTCCAGCTCCTAGAGAGAGAGTTTGATCCTTTAAACACTTTGTCTGGGTCATAGGAAAAGCACACAAGGAAGGAAAATGCATCTTTGAGAGATGGCATAATATATCTTGAATTTAAAACATACTTTTAAAGGCCAAACATTTACATTTGCAACAAATACAGCAAGGCAAAACTTTTAACTCATTAGGGGATGGAGGGAGAGAAGGAAGAGCTTTATGTATTCCTCATACTGCTCTAACACAGAGAGATCACTTTGTACTAGGATAGAGTATATTTAACAGTGAAATACTGATATCTCCGCAAGGTTTTCTCTCTCCATGTCTTTGAGCAACACTGAAGGGCAGTTCTGTTCAATATGCCTCTACAGCTGCTGAGAAACTATTGATTCTTCTAGAGGACAAACAGCTGCATGTGCTGCTATAGAGCCCCACTATGCAAGGGCAAATAAGACCTTTGCTGAAACAGTCTCCAGGAGAAGGTGCTGTCAAACCAGCCTGGAAAATACTTCAATTGCTAATGTGTCTTCAGACAAAGCACCATATCCAAGGTGCATTCTGCAGCACCATTCCTGCAGCAGCAATGGCAATAGTGTTGGTACTTCAAGCAGTTTAGGGATGAGGATTTTTTCCTTAGTCATTTTGTTCCCATTCCATAAACTTTCACTACATCATGTTGTTTAAAATAGCACTGGCAGATGGCATGGTCTGCCATCTGAGCAGATGGCATTTGAGCATGAGACCATTTGACCATCATTTGAGCATGAAAGTGGGACTAAGGAGCCTTAATTTGTTACAGCACTGACTCCAAGATTCTGTCTTCTCTCCCCATTCTAGTTTGCCTAGACTGCAAACTCCAAGGCAAAAGCTCTGTATCTCCCTAGATATGTGTGTTGGGCTTAGCACCATGGTCTGCACCTAGTGCTGGGGCTTAAGCCACTGTCACAGTATTGGTAATTCTAATACTGAGCATAGTTGTGCGCATTTTGTGCTAGCAATTTATTCACATTGTGTATCACTTTCATTGGAAATGATGTGCACCCGTAAGATGATGCTTTTAGGGGTGGTGACATTAGCCAAAACACTCTTTGGACTCACAGATGTGTGAAACATCTGAGGTGATGAGGTTATGTTACATGAAAACAGTTGGGAATTGCTCTTGCCCCTCCACTAGTACCACTTGTGTCAGCTTCTCACCGTAAGCAGCTTTGAGATACCAAAGAATGTCCATCTGTCCATTTATCTCTCTTTCATCTACACCAAAAAAATGATGTCGTTCTTTCAACCTTTCCTTGCATCTCCTGGCTGATATCTTTCTTGCAAAGTAGGATCGAAACCCAGACGTAATTGTCATTTGCTCACACTGCCAGGTGGTCTCGTTTGGTGTGTTCTCTCTTGTTTAATAAAATGTACCCTCTGACACCCACATTGTTATGCTTGAAAACGAGAATTTACTATTTGGAAATTAATCATCTACTGAGTCATATTTACTTTGTAATCTACCATGAGCCATCTTTGTGATTCTTCACTTCATATATTCAATGCCTTCTTTGTATTTTGAGTTTCGTTGTGTTAAATTTCATCGGGTTGATTTACTTTTTACTGAACGTTTTACAGATGTGAATTTGATCGAATTCAATTAAATCCAGTGGATGACTCAAATGACCAAAATATGACAGATTTATGTCTGAGTCTCTGTCAGTCAGCTCTACAAGATGTTGACAATCTCCATTTAAAGCATATCAAATAGAGTTGCAAGCCTAGACTTACTAATTTTACCTTCACTGAGTGATCAGCTAAGCCTACACTTTAACCAACAGACTTTGAAATATCTTCCTTGATTACATTCCTAAAGTATCCTTGATATTTACACATTTCACAATTCTTGTGCATTATTTTTGATGGTAAATTATGTTTGCAGATATCAAGAAGCAAATACAGAATTTGTGCAATTCTATTTTCTGCACAAACAATTAAATTTCAGTCTTTCAAGGCACGTCCCATACTTTATTGCCTCTGAAAGAGGGTTTTGTTTCTCATTTATGAAGGAAATTACATGCATAGCTTCAATATTCTTGAAATGTTTCAGCTAGAAAGAAGACATTTTCAGTGAAGGAGCATTAATATTTCAGTGCTACCTGTAAATTAAATTCTAGAGTATCAGCTACATCAGTTCCTATCTTGCTTCCATAAGCCACTCTTCTACCTTCTGATCTTCAATATCTTTTTATTTCAAAACTAGAAGATGTTTTGCTGTGATATTTGATACTTTGATCTCTGATGCAGATAATACACACTGAAAACCCTTTATATACACATGAAGTTAATCACTACAGTAAAATGTTTTCATGACCATGTACGTGTCCAGCTTGAAGGCTCCTACAACTGCAAGATATCTGTTATGTATTACATAAACCCGAGAACTTAACTGAGTTACAGAGAAAACTATGGATAAACCAGTCTTAATCTAAAATACTTGTTGTTCAGGAGCGAAACAAAGCTGGCAGCGTATTTGGAGCTGGTAGATGATGTAGTTCTCACAAGAAAAAACACAGTCTTTTCCTTAAGGATTTGTATCAGCTCTTGCATTCCTAATATTTCTGTCATATTTCAGATTCTTTTTGTCTCCACACAAGTCCCATAGTATCAGGATTATACTTTTATTTGTTTCTATTGTGCTATTGTTATGAATAAGCTGAGCATGAGTTCTATCTTGATGTTTATTTTACTTTATTTTCACTTTATTGCTTGGTAGGCTGAATTCTTTGTATGTTGTCTTGCTAGTGAGAAAGCCCTATTTTAGTAATTGTTTCCTAATACAAAAAATGGCATCACAATTATCATTACCTCATTTACTCTGAGCCAGTTTTGTGTCTGAAGTGATGCACGTATTACAACCAGACAGCTTCTGGGAGGAAGCAGTACCAGTTTTGGACTCCTGTAGCAAGAACTGCAAATTCTGCAAACCATTGCTTTCAGTCGTTCCTGTTCCCCACAGCTGCAAGAACCATCTCCCAGCACAGAGCTATGAGGGCAGCAAACAGGACTGGCCAGCTTGTACCAAAAGATTTTTCCACCCAGGAGGAAAATTACCTAACATCAGCTGAAGCTTTTGACCCGAAGGCCTCTTTCTTCAGATGTGTCAACCTAAGATGATTGCATAGGAAAATCATGCATTTATATGCACAGACAGGCAGGAACAAAACTTGCAGAAGAATTCTTAAGCCTGAGCAAGATCTGCATGCAGAAGGCAGGCAATCAGTTTAAAAGCATAGTTGCAGTTTGCTTATCCTTGTCCCCCAGAGATGATAAAGAGAACATTAATCTGCCTGTTCCACCATCCTCCTCTGTAACCTGAGGACTGGGGTTATGAATGTCTTTCTGCTATTACTTCAGGATTTTTAATTCAAGGCCCATTTCCTCACACATTGACAGCACTTATTAACTTCCATATGCAAAGTTCTGTATTTCAATATGAAATACCTGGAGTTGGAAATGAATATTAGAAATTGGTATGACTTACTTTAAGTTTTCTTATGCAAAAGCTCCTTGCAGAAAGTGTTTTGAACAACGTTATTGAATTGCATAATGATAAATATAGCAAAAGAAGAGATGTATGCTAATAGAATATTTACAAACCAAGAAACAAGCTATGCCTAAAAATATTTACTATGGGATAATACAACTGTCATATAGGTACAGTGGAAACACTGAAGCAAAAAGAATCAGCTACTGAACTAATTAGGAGGGCATTTTCTTGATAAAAGAGGAGCTTAAACTGATTTTTACCTTAATGTAATCTGAAAAACTCTGGTTTATCTAGAGAAGAATTTATCTGATTAGGGTTATTAGCACAACTCTGTGACCGGTTCATGGAACTGCTAGAGACAACTCTTAGTTTTTAGTGTGGAAGCAGAAAGATGTTTTATAATAAAAGCTTTGATTTGCTGCTTTCACACCTCAGTACACGAAGTACTTAAAAGCACATTTAATTTAAGATTATTGCTGTCCAAATGAGAAGCTGAGCAACAGACTTCATCAACTGTCTTCTGTTCACTGCCTTGAACTGATTGACTGCCCCCATCTCTGCCTCTACCTACAAAGCACTGGCCTTGGTCCAGAAGATAATACTTGATTACATAATTAAGCTCAAAAGCCTCCTAGTCCCCTTCACTTCAGCACCCTCAGCTATACTTGTGAGGCATAGGGAAGTCCTAGAACAGTATAGTGTCCAGCAAAGTCTCTCAAGTAGCTAAAGAGGGAATTCCCACCTCTGGCAGTGTTCAAGGCCAGGCTGGACAGGGCTTGGAGCAAGCTGCTCTAGTGGAAGGTGTCCCTGCCCGTGGCAGGGGCTGGGACTGGACAAGCTTCAAGGTCCATTTCAACCAAAACCATTCTAGAATTGTAGGATTCCATAATTCCCTGTAGCTTGTTGAGCAGAATCCCCCTGATGTTTCAGAACTGAAAAGTCCAGGGACATGATAGCCTTTACCCTGCCTGACAAGTGTCCAAGTCTATCCCTGTGCAGGCAAGCATCTTCATGCGTTCAGAAAGCTATATTTTGACTCTTCTCATCATTGCTCTCTCTGGCAAAGCTATCAGTCCTCAACAGACTGAAGGGGAATATTTAAACAGCCCTTGTATGGACTAAAGGGAGGAGGCTAAGGATTTTTCTAACCCCTCTTCTGTATCTTAAGTTTACTGGGAAGCAAATTAGGATTCCACAGAGTTAAGAGAAGGTGAAGGAGGTGGTGCCTGTTTGCTGGGCTGAGATGCCTATGGAGGAGCACAAAAATACTTCTGACAGTTCTGGTTAGAGCACTCGGCATCACTCAGGATGAAGCTGCCAGCTATTCTGGGACTGTGACGATTCTCATTAAGTTCAGAGACCCAGCATAAAATGAAAATTAACCATTTGCAAAGCGACAAATACTTCAATATCTTATACCCTGAGAACTAAGCTTAAGTGTCCATAATTACAAATCCTCTCATACTCCCTTAGAGTGTGTGGTACAGTGCTTTTTTGTGACTACTAAGTGAAAGTGAAGGTAAATCTAGTAACACTGTTACAAATGTGTTTGCAACATTGTTACAAATAAACAGCATGAATCAATTACCTATTATTATCATGAACATAAAACCAATGTGACATGCAGGTTTCTGTTTTTACCAGGAGATTGCAATACCTTCTTGTGAGCAGTTTTGTTAGAAATAGAAATTCAAGATATTATGCTGAATTGGAAAGACTTGGGGTTGGCACATGCCCACTTTTATGAAGTCTTAATTCAGCTTTTTTAATGATTATTTATGATGGATCTGAGTTTGGCTGAAGTCAGCCCAATAATTTCTATTTGATAGCATTAGAATAGGAGATACTTTAAAAATATTCTTTTCTTTCTCCATTCTGCATAGCAGCATTTCAGTTTTTCCAGAGTCTTTTAATAAGGAATTCAAGTTGTAAATTTTCTTCAACAACTAGATAACACTTTTCTGGATATACTCACTTTCCAATACTTTATGTTTCATAGGAGTAATTTTGTGTTTCCCACAGGAGCCATTCCCAAAGATAAACTAGGAGATAGATAGACATCTGACCATAAATCACAGGATTTTTCTTTAGCTGTATAACAGAACAGCTTTGATATTTGATGTTTATGGCTAATAAACTCTATCCAGCCAGACAAAACTATCATTTAAGTCTGTGGACCATGTTCTCACCTCAGTTGGATCTTGTTGACCAGAGTTTTACAGTCTGACCTACTCAGACAAGTATCTCTCCCTGAACCAGGGTGGGAATCTGAAGAAAGCCCGCAAAATCCCATGGGCTGACTTCCTAAATTAGATTACTCCCATGCAACCAACACATTGACTGGGTTGATGGGACAGAGTTTGGTCCACGGACAGCATCAGGAGTGGATCACATAAGCATTATGGCGTTTTATATAGGGCTTTTTTAGCTCAGTAAATGCAGTCTCTGTCATAAGAGTTGAAACAGTGCACATTTTTACAGGAGACTTGAATCATATCCTGGCTCAGAGTGCCCTACTTCTCTGAGCTAAGAGTGCATCTCAGTACTCTTTTCCAGTATGTAGGTTCACACTTACCTCGTAATTACATAAGGTGCAAAACAAAGTATGAAAGTACCGATAAAGGTACTTATTTTCTTTGTTGCTCGCTGCCTCCTCCTCTTTTGTTCTTCTAGACAACGCTCTCTTACGCTGCGTGACATTCAACACAAACAAGAACATGAATCATGATATCAGGTAGCAGATTTTAATGGCTTTACTTATGGAACGATGGAAATCACTCTTTCCAGGAACTATTGTAATCACAGAAGTCAATACCACGTGCACTGCATTTATGTGGGGCAATACCAAGTATTAATTCATCGTATGATCATCCTACTCTCCAAAAACAATCACTGAGAAATACATGATTATACATTCATATGCACACACCCCCGTCATATAGGTTTATATATAGTGAAAGTGGTGGAATTCAGCCTTGAATTCAGTTACAGCTCCTTTTTGAATTACTGTAAGCACTCTTTTGAACCCAGAGTTTGCCTCATGTTATTCAGAGACTTGGAAAATATCCAGAGTGGGGTAGGCAGCATGCTACTTCCCTAGAAACAGCAATTCCAACATCACTGCCTCATATAGGGGAAACCTCCAAGCAAGATAAGCAATAAAACACAATGAAATAATAACAGGGAAAAATCATGCTCTCAACATTCAGCCCAATGTTGGAGCAATCGCTGTGTCCCATAGCTGTGAACTGTGTGGCCATAAATCTTTTGTGCTCTGCCTGTGCTGAATGCTCTGCAAAGCTGGGAATCATATAACAAATCCACAGCGCTGTGATATTGTGATTGCTCACCTCACACCAGGCTTGATGCCCAACTAAACAGATACAAATTAGTCACCCCCTGGGATTTTTTGCTACCTGTGGCATTTTAGGACAAGAGTTTCTCTTTTGGTTTTCCCGGTGATCTCACCAGGGCATCAGAAAAGCTGGTAAGGCCTTTGGTGTGCCAGCTAGGTGATTGGAGCAGGAGCTGAGGTCACACTTTCACTGCAGGAACTCTCCTTTGGAATCAGCATATTAGCTTACTAACAGAGTAATAAGATCAAATCCCATCCTCCATCTCTACCTGCTTGTGTAACTCCTGTGCTTTTTGTGCCTTTTGAGGGAAATGGATGAGTTACTCTCTTCACCAGATGGTTAGATTGGATGGGCAGCACTGGTTGTATCTCCCAGAGCACCAGGGCCATCTGTACCTGAACAAACCCCTTTGGGAAAGGGCAAAACCAAAGCCAGACTGAGTCCTGAAACCCCTGTCTACGCACATAACACTGCTACATGATGACTCATTGCATAAGTCTGGTGGTAACACAATCACACCTTGGGCAAACTGAATGGTCTGGCCCATGTGCTGCATTTTGTAACTGCTTAGCATCAATATCTCTGTTTTCATTATAAATTTTATAACTGATGAGTCATTGTCAGATTCCACACTTACATATATTAATAGCTAAGAGATTTATGGCCACACTCTTACGTTATTTGCTCTATCTACATATGTTTGATCATCTAAACATGTTATGTCCAGAGGATCTCAGTGTGCTTCAGTGATTTCTGTGGCAATGAGTCTTGTATTACTTTTTGTTTCTGGTAGGGAAAATGTATTTCCTTTGCTCTGTTTTATATATGGTATATAATGGTATACATTGTCAGTACCCGGAGCTGTTATCATGGTATGCAAAATGAAATAAATTCTGGAGGAAAAGTTTGTTCTCCTAGAAATAGCAAATTGTCTTCCTGTCAAAGAATATGCGTAAGTAGAATGAAAACACATCTAAATGTGTTACATGTTCTGCGTCTCAGTTATTTGCAGCTAGAAATGACAGCTCAGAAGGAAAAAAAAATCCACCTTTTCCAGAGAACCTATGTACTCTCAGTTCTGCAAGAGCTAGAGAACTTGGAGTATTTTTAGGTGCAGACAGATGATCTTTGACAGCTTAACCTAAGTCGTGTGTTATTAAATTCATAGTATCCCAGACACACAGTGATGTAGGAAAAGCAATCCCCAAAGTAGGTTAAACTGGGGGGGTGTTAGGGTGTAAAGGTGGCATGGTTTTTGTCTCTAACAGTTTCTCCAGTAACATCTTTTCCTTCCTGGCACATAGAAAACTGTCTTTCAGTCCTGGAGCTCACACATGACTTGGGAAGTCCTGGTACGCTTCAACCAGTTTCTTTTGTTCAGCCTTTCCAGGTGTAGCTAATAAATACCACATCACAGGGGAAGGTATTTTATCTCACTTCTTCACATAGACAATGTACGCAGATGAGTACTCTGCTTTTGCACACACTTTCATGCACTAAGATAAGAACATACATATGAGTTCCAGCAGTGACACTAGCAACAGAAGTGGATTATTGACTAAGCTTTTGTTTAAAGATCTTGATATCTTAGGAAATCTTGGAAATATCCCTTTGAAGGTTTGGTATTTTAAACAACATTTATGAGATACTGGACCTTAAAGATGCATAGAGCTGAATACACAAAAAAAGATAGTATAGATAATTTGAGTGAAGAAACACATGGGTTAAGCACTTAAGTGGGATCTTGCCCAAACTCTCACAATGCCTAAGATATCTTGGTCTTAAGAGCAAAGTCAAGAAAGAAGCAGTATCCAGTAAAAACGCCTAAGCTAACTCGAAAGGGCACGTGCCCTCAACATTCACATAAATCTGTGTGGTATTTAGACGCTTCCTTTGTACTCATCTTGAATAATCTTCAGAAGATCACTCATGTCTTTCCAAGTCACAGGTAATGAAGCCATCTGTCATAATGCCTGTCGCTGGACCCCCTTGCGGGTGGATTCTGAGTCATAGGAAGCAGAAAATTGTCTGTACACATTTCTCAGCCTTGAAACTAGACAGTGTGAAAAGCCAGAGAAGTCAGGGTAGTCTAAGGTGGGATTGCAAACTTAGTTCTCTCATGCGAATTCTCCCAGCACCCATGTCTATGCTGTTAGGTACTATGGTAAACAGTGAAAACGCCTGTACATATATATATATCACTTCTGTAATTCAAATGATGCTGTTGCTGTGTCAGGGCTTTATGAACATCACTGACTTCTCCAGGAGACCTTCAGCTTTTTGTGTAGCTCTCACAGCAGGGAAGGCTATCTGAGGTCTAGCCCTTTCAGTGGCGGTAGTTGTCCCAGTTAAGGCAACATCACCATAGACCATATCAGCCACCAGTTATGCAATCTAAAAAGGAAGCTAAAACTCCTTTCTTAGAGAGAAGCATTAGAATAACCTGATGTGACAGATAAATAAGAGTTAGCACTACAGGTTATTCACCTCCTCTGAAGAAAGGAGATATTATTCCCACAGCCCCATTGAATCCACCCCTCTGTGCAATGACTGCACACATCCTCAAGTTAACCTAGACCAGAAAAAATGCAGAGGAGGGGAAACAGCACTGGGATCTTTGTCCTTTTCCTAAACTTTGCTGTGCAGTCCAAGCATACTTTAAGCATTAGGCACAACGATTGCTATTTCAAATAGCCCTGGTAGGTTTATGGCACTGTCGGGGAGTAACCACCACATCTCACAGTGCGTGCAGGAGCTAAGGCCAGTTGAGGCACAGTTTAGCAACCAGACAGCACGTAGGGCAGGAGGGTGTTTTTTCCTCTATGTGACTTGGCGAATAAGGGAAGATTTATACATGTGTTTCTCAAGAACAGTTATAGGAGTTGCCCAAAGTTCTGCTCTGCATACTTGGTCAAGAGCAAGATCAAACAGCTTAAGTGGAGAATTCTGACCAAATGTTCCTGTTCCTCTAACAGTGTGCTGTCCTGCCCTGATCCTTTCAGATTTATTTGTCTTGGGCTTAGGAATCCCCAAATTATGACCTTTTTTTGAGGACAGCCACATTGCTTTCAGTCCTGAAGCCCTGCTCCCTGCTAATGGAGAGAGCTGCTGTTTGCCTCCAGCTTGCAGAGCAAAGGACATCGAAGGGGGATCAGGTGGGATGTCTGGCTTGGGACTGCCCTCTTTGACTACTCTCAGCTTTCCTTAGCTCCAGGCAGACTTCTGCCCCTGTATCAGACACCAAATCTGCATCCCTTCCAGATCCAGACATACCTATTCATGCAAGATTTATAGTTTGGGTCTAATCCCTGACGTGACTCTTTGCACAGTATCCAGGACACATTCATTCTCCTTTGGAGCTTGCCTTCAACCTCTTTATCCTCCCAGCCCCCAGAGACTTTTCTCCTCCTCTGTCTAGGCACAAGGGGCTTGCTTAAAGACTGTAATTTGAAATGAACTTTATACTTCCCTTTGCTTGTTGTATTAACATCACTACTGAAGTCTCTCACTTAGATGTAAGCATAGGCACTTGAGTGTATGCATTTTGCAGATGTTACTCCCTGACAATTCTGCCTTCAGGAAAGATAAAGTTACAGAGAGCATGGCAATAGGGAAACTGCCAGGTGAAGGAGTGGGACACAGCACCCGGCTTCCCATCAGAATTCCAACTGAAGGGACATGTGCAGCCTCTGCCTGCCCCTTCTTAGGGATCCAGCAGCATTTTGGGCTGACAGTGCCAAAAAATGCAAATCTATCAACTGTTAAATCAACTTCGGAGACAAACGGCAGTGATCTGATCACTGTCTCAAAGGGAAGTGCATGCCCAGCCAAAACTGCCTGTTTGTTTGCTCTGCCTCCCAAACAAACCCTTAATCAGCACAAAAAAGAGTTGTTTCTGCAGCCGGTAAAACAAATACAAGTAAAGGAAACATGCAGAATAGAAACTGACAAGAAGGATGCTTGCTTTCTCCCCCTCCCCATCCCCTGCTGTGACACAAATCAGACTGTATTTAACATCATACCGAACCCTGTCCTTGCTTCCTCTGCAGCGAAGAGTCTCACTTGCTGAACACACCGGCACCTTACCTGGGATGAATGTCCACAAGCAGCACCAGGGTCTGCATAGTGATCACGTCAATCCGCTTACAGTGAAACCGTGCCACCTTCAGTACTTTTAGATATGTGAAACACAGGACTATAAGGGAGAGGAGGAAGCTGAGGGTGTGAAAGACCCCAGTAAAAATCACAAACTGTGTCCTATCCTCTGGTCTCTTGTTGTACAGGGTGCAGGAGGCATAGAGGTGATGGAAACCCACCCAGGAGAGAGAAGCTGCCACTATCGGGAACGACACTGAGTGCAACCACGTGTAGCTCAGTATGAGAGCAGCATCTCTGTACCTCATTTTGGAGTGATAACTTAGAGGGAAGACCACAGCAATCCACCTGTCAATGCTCAAAGCTGCCATGCTCAACATGGAGTTCGTGGTGAGGAAAGTCTCCAGGAAACCCACAGCGTGGCAGATCTGATCTCCTCCCGGTTGACTCTTGTAAATGATCCCAGCCAAGGTCAGGGGCATGTTCAAAACAGTCATCAACAGGTTGCAGAAGGTGAGGTTGAGGATGAACAATCCTGGGACCTGCTTGCGGATGTCAGCGCTGTACAGGAAGCACATCAGCACCAGCACGTTGGCCAGCAGGGCCACGAGCATCAGCACCACCACCACGAAAGCCAGGATCACCTCCCAGATGCTCATGGTGCGTCCAGTCACAGGAGGGACATCTCCGAAACTGCTCCGCGCTGGCACCCGGGGAACATGGTGCAAGGTGCACCCACCTCGCCCTCCTCCCCAGCCTGCTCACACTCTTGCATGCCCTCCGTATTTTTAGAAGAGCTGCAGTTTTTGTCTCCAACCTCCCCCTCCTCGCTGCTCCTTTCCACGTCAACGCTTCCCGAGACGTGCACAAAAGCACTGGGAATGCCCATCAAACTGCGAGGAGGGCTTAAAAAATATCAGCAGGACTGAACCACTGTCTCCATTCGGTCCATTGGAAGGAGAGAGGGTTATTCTGAGAAACTGCTCTCCTGAGATCCCTAATTACCCGCCCCAAGCTCGCAAGCAATTCACCGAGTGAATTGTGCTCCCCTTCTCTCTTGCTCTCTCTCTGTCTCTGTCTCTTGCTCTTTCTCTCCCCTCCCCTCTCCTCCAACCCTCACTCCCTTCCAGGCTGAATGTAACCTGCTTTTTATGATCACAGATAAAAACCCCATTAATGGATTAAAGCATGCACACTGCTGGTGATTCGCAAACGTGATTATGTCATCCCCACCCCACAACCCCTCCCCTTCTCCTTGCGACTAGACTTTCCTCAAGAGAATCCCATGCTTTCATTTAATTGATTTAGCCATTAATTTGCAAACAGCCGTGTAACTGAATTCCTGCACTCCAGTGTGTTTCCTACGTCTCGGTGCATCACTCTCACAGTTGCTGCTTGCACTCAGCAAGGGGTTTTCGTTTCTCTTCATTAGCTGTGCTCAAAAAGATGAGGGGAAAAATAATGGATGCATTCTGCTACTTCTCTGGAGCTGTCATTAAGCTAACCAGGATGTTTTTACTGCTCGAGTTTAGCACTTTGCAGTCTTATGTCTCCAAGCACAATGTGCAAGAGGAAAACGATTGCCTCCCCTCCTCCTGTAAAAACAGGGAAAACAAAGCCCCAAATGCCACTGCCACATGCCCAAGGGCACAGAACAGGTGAGTGGCAGAAGCAGCAACGTGCTGCTTGTCTTGCTATTCAGTCAGGCTTTCTCCTCCTCAGCAGCCTTCGCATCTTCCTAATCAAAGCCTCCTTCTCTGTGAGGGTGAGCGCCCTGCGAGATCAAAACCAAGCAGCAGCTTGGCAAAGGAAATAGGAATGAGCCTGTGTTGCGCATAATTAAGTGTTAAAATCAAGTTTGTTTTAAAGGGCAGAGTGGGAACTGTTTTCTGCTTGCCTTTCCTGTCTCTTTAAAGCAGTTTTCATTGGGAATGCTGCAAGTTTGTGAGCAATCGGGACAGCTTTCTCATCAAGGCAGCCAAGCCTTAATCCCTGCACAATAACAAGGCAAAAGATACCCTGCAGCACAGCTATTGTGGCTTAGTAAGTGCCTCTGCACGTGTGCAAGGGCTAGATGCTGAGGTGGATTTCTCCTCCGTGTCACAGCCCTTTCCAGCACCATGCACGCTTGGTTTCCAGCAGCTATTCATTGCACTTCGGTTCAGCCACTCAGTAGCAGAGCTGTCACCCTGCACCATGTCAGAGCATTGCATGCTACAGGAAGGACCTTTCTCTTCCACTTGTGTTTTGTTTTCTTAAACCAGGCTTTAAAGGGCTAACAGAGACAGAAGACTGTCATGAAAGGCAGATGGGACTCTCTGGGACAGTGTAATGGGGTACAACTGTGAGCTCCCTGTCTCCAAAACATGTTCTCATGTGGGGTGGATGAGAAGCAGGACTCTGGTGTCTGCCAGTCTTTTCCGGAGGCAGTGGTCCAAAGGTACATGAGAATAGCCTAGAGGAAAGTCCTTTAAATGAGAGGAGTCTTTACCCTCTTAGGAGAGGCAGGCTGAGGAGATGAGAGAGAAGATGCAGATCTTCTCTATGACATCAGTCTGAGAGAGCTGGGCTGGGTCAGCCTGGAGAAGAGAAGGCTCCTGAAGGGGAGACCTGAGAGCAGCTCCAGTGCCTGAAGGGGCTGCAGGAAACCTGAAGAGGGGCTTGGGACAAGGGCCTGTAGGGACAGGCCAAGGGGAATGGCTTTAACCTGCCAGAGGGGAGACTGAGATGAGCTCTTAGGCAGAAGCTCTTCCCTGTGAGGGTGCTGAGGCGCTGGCACAGGGTGCCCAGAGAAGCTGTGGCTGCCCCATCCCTGGCAGTGTTCAAGGCCAGGTTGGACACAGGGGCTTGGAGCAAGCTGCTCTAGTGGAAGGTGTCCCTGCCCGTGGCAGGAAGGGCTGGAATTAGATGATTTCAAGATCCCTTCTCCTTAGATAGGAAGAAACAGTCCTGTCTGAGAAAGGCATCCCAGTATCAGCAGCCTGAGTAGGCTTTCCATGTTACAGTACCTATCCTGAGGCCAGCTCAAAGCTCAGCAAGCAAATACAACTTCCAGCCCTGGGAAGAAACCTGGGAAGAGTTCAGAGACAAGAAGAAGAATGTGGCAAGGCTTGCTACGAGACTAGGAAGGACAGTGAAAAAGGAGAAAACTTGGCGGCATACAGGAGGGAGGCAGGTACTCTGTGACAGAGGTAGAGGGGAACCTTATACCCACTCAGTGTCAGTGACTGCTCCTTCCCATGTTCAGCCTTCTCCTTGTCTCAAACCAATCCTGTGAGGCTCCCAGCTGCACAAATTGTTCAAGACCCTGCATGGGGTAATTTAGCCATTTATCCTGCCTTGCAGCACACGAGGCTTTGGGTTTATCAGGATGTTTCCTGAAGCACCATGCTGGTTTCCCTTTAGTGAGCTGCGGTGCCTCATGGATTCAAAAGCTCTGCTCGAGAGTAAACCCCTGGTGTGACAGGAGGTCTGGCATCAGTGTCAAGCCTGGTTGACAGGGAGGGGGGAAATTTGTGTCTGGAGAGAAAGGATTAGGGATAACAGTCAAGAAAAGAGGATTCTCCCAAAATGATGGATAGATGTGAAATAATAGGAGGCAGAATGAGATAGCACAGTGAAACAATGATGGAATATGAAAGGTCAGGTTTGGGAGTGGTATGGGATTGACACTGCAGTGGATTTGCCATGAGGGGGCCAAAGTGGAGCTGGTGTTCTGGAGACAATGGTGGACAAGTGGTAATAGTGGACAGGGCAGGAGAAGCTGGCAGGACTGTGGACTGGCTCTATTGGATCTCTTTACCAGGGAGTGGAGAAGCTGCAGGAGTGGATAGCTGCAGAACAGTCACTGTATCCTCTGCATGGTGTCTGAGCTCCTTCTTCCAAGACCTGAAATCTCCCCTCCTTTCACCTGGACTTTTTTCCCCCCTAATTTGATAGGATGCTACTGCCATTCCTATCACTGTAGGAAAGCTAAATTAAAGCAGCAAGCTGGCAGGTACTTTGGTAATTGTTGGCCTAAATGTATGAAGCATTCCTAGTCCTATGCTTCACAGTTTACTGATTGCTTTTCTTATCAAGCTATTCTGCGTTACACAAGTTTCTCAGGTAAAGAAAACATTGTTTTCAGTAAGGTTAAACTCCCTGTTTACAGGGAAAACGTAGCAGCTAAAAAGGGCTTAAATCAACAATCAACTGAAAGAGCTTTCTAGATTTCAGGAGAAAGCTGAAGTTGTCTATGGTTCTCTTTATGACTGATTTGAGTCTCAGTATGTATGTCTAATTTTAAAGGCCCAAGTGATTACACAATTGATTCCCCTGGTGGTAGCCCCTGCAGGAGTTGATAGCTGCTGAATGCCTCTGGATTTATTTATCATGCATACCTAAGAAAGCGTGATGGACCCATCAAATATGGATGAATTTTATGATTAATTTTATCCACAAATGACTGGTTTTAGAAGGATCACACAGATCTCTTGCTATACTTTTACAACAGCCTATAGCTAATGGATTTATGGCCAACACACCACATGCACACCAGATTACCTTAACGAAGCTGTGATGTGTACTAGTATTGTACCAAACAGGAAAAATATGCAACAATATGAAACTCCTCTAGATAAGAGATTAATTTACTACTCTCCATGCAGTAATTTTCATTACATTTTTGTCTATATTTGGAAATGAATGAAGGCATAAAGCTGATTAAAGCTTCAGTATTTTGGGTTGACCTTTCAGTTTCAGAAAGGCTATGACACGCGAATGGAAGACTTGTCTTTGCTGGAGTGTTCATGAAGGGAAAACCATTCTCAGCATGTTGTCCCACTGAGATGATGAAATAGCTATTTGGGATAAATTACATTTTCAAAGTTATGTCCTAAGCGTCCTAGATAGGAGGCTATTCTGATGACCTAACTAAAAGATCTAAGACACTCACTTCATAGGAAACTGATGTTTACGGCTTTGCACCTCTGAGAAAACAACTTGGAAATCTCACCTGAAGATGCCTTTGAGATCTGATGCATTTCCTTTGTACTGAAGCTTGCAGCTCTCCAATTTTTCTCTGGCAAAATTAGGGAGTCTCAATTTCATGCTTTCACTGTGCTTCCCTTCTCCTATGGTCTCACCTTCCTCCTTTGATCAGCAGTATACAAACTTTACAGAACTTTCATAACAAGAGTATTGACACATGGAAGAGATTGTTTCTCCCTTATCTGTGTCTTAGCCAGTTCAAAGACAATCAATTTCCCCCAGGAAACCAGTGTGCCAGCAGAAAGCCCATGGGCATTTCTTCTTGCCTCCATCAACCTTTACTTTTTGCTTCATAGCTGTTTGGAGAGCTTGTAATACATTCACAAACTGTAGAACCGGGTCATTTCACTTTATTGTCAATTAAACTAAGTTTTAGTAACAGCAGTATCTTTAGTCTGATTATTTGAAGGTCAAGTGTCACACTGGAATAGAACACAGTATTAGCCTCTTTTATGTAAGATAATGGCTCATTAAATCATCATTTTGCTGGATCAATGGTAAAGTATCACTGGCTCCAGCTATGAGAATTTCACTATATATGTATGGTAGAGGTAGCATGAGTAATGACTTGTGTAATGTCTACATACTTTGTCAGGACGGTAGACCAAATCAAAAGGGCAGCTGGCCCTGCTAGTTCACTGCTCCATTAAGAAGGTCAGAAGCAGCAGAGAGCACTTTCTCCTCTGCTTCTGCAACACCATGACTTCTGCATGGCAATTGATCCAATCCTTTGGTCATCAGAACAGAGGCTAAAGAAGAGAAGGCACAAGGAAGCTATTTAAGCACTCATATGAGTTGACTTTGGTCTGTCTTCAGCCCACTACCATGCAAAACCTTGGCAAGGCTGCTTGGTGGAGAGAGAAGCTGCAGTTCTCTTCCTCTCATGCCCTGGCTGACAGGGTGTCATGGTGCAGAGGCATCTGCTACACCTTCACTGAACAAAATGTGTTTTACTTCATCCGCCACTCTTCCTAGCCCCAAATAACTAGCATAGAGTCATAGAACCATATAATAGTTAGGGTTGGAAAGAATCTTAAGATCATCTAGTTCCAACCCC